CAACATTCCCTATGGTAGCTCCAAATTGTCAAAGTGAATCTCAACAGTTGGTTTCATTCAGATGAAGTCTGCTTTGGTCCCAGAAGAAGCAACTGCAACACCTTCACCAACCCCTCCACACTCACTCCTATCATCTCCCTCGTGGTGGTGGTAAGACCCAAGGTGTAGCACACAAAAAGAGCTGAGCCATCCTAAAATTACTGTTCATTTTTGAGACAGGTCAGCTGCCTCATCCTGCTAAGCACACATTTGGATAATCACTCGTGCCTGCACAAAAGATGCAGCAGAAATGCACAGCTTTCATCCACGGCATACAATTAATGCAGCTACACCCATAGGGAAACTGCAACACGAAAAAAACAATTACCCTGGAGTCAAATGATGCACCAAAGCTTGCTCGTGTAATAAAAGCCCTAACAAAGGTGTTAAAAAGCTTAAAAATGTAACACAACACTTAAACATCTTATCCACAACCTCTAAACAATCCACAGGGCTGCCTTGCTCTGCTGTTAACTCTTAAAATTTCTCAGTTTCTGTTCCCCATAGTAAGAAAACCTCAATATTTGAAAAGAGAAAATAAGCTATCCTACAATTTTCAAGTTTTCACAACAGAAGCAAGAACACAAAACACCCTGAGATCTGTTACTGAAGAGTCCCACCATCCTTGGTAGATCTATGTTCAAAGTGGCCTACTGGGACTCAACTGTCACAGGGTCTTCAGTTATAGCACAAATAGAAATCTTAATGCTGGCAATATCAGAATGAGATCAGCACTCTGAAATAAGAGCCTACACTATCAAAGACATATTCATGTTATTTATTTCACCACACATACTGACTCTAGAAAAATATAATATAGGAGTACTGGGATTCAAGAAAAATAATTTAAGAACATAATATAAGTATAATAGCATTTCTAAACTCATATATTTGCCTGCAGCATTACAAGCATGCACAGCATGGTATTAGCTTATTTAAGAAAATGAAACATTTACTTTCACTGACCAAACAGAAAAATTAAAGTAACTTGCAAGACAAAAATTGCACCAGATTTAATATTATTTGCACAAATTAAGTAACAGATATAAAACATCTCAGGCTGTGAATTCCAGTCTAATAACAAAAAGTTAACTCCAATAAAAATTCTTAAATAAATGCTTTCAAATAAGGACAAAACCAGAATTACTATCTCTTGAAAATATATTCATATATATTAAAGGGATTATTTTTCAAAAATATGGGTATAATAAAAAGCATGATTTTGTACACAACAAAAGAGAAGCTTGGAATTAAATTTCATCCCAGTTAAAGAGAGCCCTCATTCCTTCCCAGAGTAAAGGTCAAACATCTAACACTACATTTACTGGTAATTTTATTTTTTTAGCCTTTTATCCCTTCAGACCTCTCTGCAAAGTTTAGTGAAAGCTTAGGGCATTCATGCCTGAGAAAGGCATCAAAACATGGCAAAACGTGCCATCTTGAGAAGGAAGAGTTGGCATCCTAATGAAAAAATTAAAAATTAAAATTAAAAAAAAAACAACGTTAGCTCAATCATTCTCTATCTCAAAAGCTAAGAATCCTTTGGTTTGAGACAAATAAGTTTTTGTTTAAAGAGGACACAGTGAAAAACTCTTCTTTTGCACAAAATGTAACTGTCATGTGCAAATACACTTCCGTGCCAGCTTTCGCATGCCTAAAATGTCAAGTAATACAAAGTTCACACAGCTTTGACAACTGAGGCAAGAACAAATACAGATGGAGGGAAATATCAATAACAAAGTAACCAATTACAGACACACGCCTCCTCCAAAATCTAAATAGGGAAAAGGTGGGAAAGCACTTAGAAATGTTTATTAGGAAGTCTAAGGAAACTTTGTTATGAACAGAAGGAAAAGAGAAAGGACCTAGTCAGCATCACCTCTCTGAATATAAACATCCAGCATCAAGTCCAAGTTTTGAGGAAGTTCATCTTATGTCATTACCTATGCTTACTAAATTGGTATTTACCTGCACTCCACAAAGAAAAGAAACTTCTTGGAAAGGGTCTGAATGAACTTATTTCTTTCTCACCAACTCTTCTTACTTCAAACTTTAAAATGTCCTTTTTTCCTCACTTTTCCTTTTTTCACATGCTTTTATACTCTAACTGTATAGAAGAAACTCAAATCCATGCTACACTAAGACTGTGCCTCCAAGTCTTTATAACTTACAGGATAAAAGAGAAAGGTTATTGATAAGTTTTACCAACCAACTCCTTGAAATGGGTAAAATAGCCTAACAAATAAATAAGTAAATAAGAATATTATAATATATCATGTACTTTGAAATTCCCAGTTGAGTTTCTTCATATTTGATTTCAAGAAAGTCAAAAAATACTTGTATGTATTTTTATGTTTTCCACAAGCTTATTGCTGTCAACTCTTCCACACCATACACGTGAAAATGCCTATGCCAATGCAACTCTTGCTACAGAAAAAAAGCAATGCTCTAAGTAAATCTGCTCTAACTACAATAAATCCCTATATGATAACATTTGTTATAGAATTAAAAAAATATATATGGCAACAGTCTTTATCAGAGGCATTACAAATGGAGATGGTGCTGTCTCCTTTCGTGTAAGTTCAAAAGTTATCAACTTATCTATGTTTCAGAAGTATTGGAGTTCAGAACTACTACAAGCAGCCAGCAAGGGAAATCTCTCTTTGATGATCATCACAAACAGAGCTCAGCCTTTCTTTTAAATCGTTTTCAGAAATTCAGAGACTAAATTATACAACAGTGTACCTGCAATGAATACAATACTAGCAACAAATTGTTAACACACACAATTCAGACACCTCATTTGCTGTTTTGCCAAGTGCTGCAGTTAACAACACGTAAGGGGGAAAAATCCAGGCCCCTCTCTGCTAGCCAGAGGTACATCGCTGAGAGGAACACTTGGTTTCATCACTGATCTAACCCGAGATGAAAAGTACACACTACGAAGTTTTAAAAAAGAACAAACCAAAAATCCACCCATCAAATTTCTGATGTGACCCTGGCAATCGCGGTTACTCCCACGCACCACACACGGTATATAAACTCTCCAAG